GGGGTCCTCCCCCCACCCTGGTGGTGGGAGACCGCAGGCCGGGGCCGTGTCGAGGCGAATGCCACCTGCAGCCGAAGCGCGGGGACAGGCCGGCTCGGGCCGCCCCCCCGCGCCTACGGCCGGATGTGCAGCCCGAGGCGGACAAGGGCGGGATGGCCGCTCTTCTTCCGCCCCGCCGGGGCATGGGGCTGGCGGGCAGCCTGGGCCCCGCTTCCACTCAAGGGGCAGCTGGGAAGAAACCCCCTGCAGAGCCGGGCCCCGGTTGCAGGCCTTGGCTCTTCTCTGAGCTGGATGGTCATTTTTAATCACCGCCCCGTGACACTGCACACGAGCCCAGGCCAGGTTGATTGCAGGGACCCTCAGGTCGCTGCATGGGCACTACAAGAGCCAACAGACCCCTGGTTGGAGCCAGAATCACTCTGCGTTTGTGACCTGCCTTATTTTGTAGGTGCAGCCTGGCTAAATTTATCCCACGAGTCTCCAGTCCATTGTGTAAAATATGTAACGTGTCATGGCAGCCTGAGTACAGGAGACACCAATCATTTGGGAAAGACTGGAGAGGAAAAGGAGTGTCCTGGTGCAGTGTGGGAGCACTACTGGCCATGTCTTTTGTTGGAGATGGATGCTTTTGTGTTATTAAGGTTGTATGGGAGGAAGTAGCAAGTGCCCATTTCTTTATGATTGTTTTTTAAGACATGACCTGGTCTGTCACCAGGTGGATTGGTAGGAAAGAGCTTGAGAAGCAAGTGCCACCTACAGCACTGCTTGCATTTTGCTCCAGAAGCAGCTACTACTTGGCACTCTTACTGAACAAGCTACAAGAACCAACAGGCCCAGGCTGGAGCTAAATAGAATCATAGATCATGGAGTCATAGAAAATGAGGGTGAAGGGACCTCAGGAGGTCATCTAGTCCAACCCGCTGCTCCCCAGCTAGATCACCCCAGCCAATGGTTTGTTTAGCTGGATCTTAAAAACCTCCTAGGATGGAGCTTCCACCACCTCTCTGGGCAACCTGTTCAGTGCTTTACTACCCTCCTAGTGAGAGAGTTTTTTCCTAATATCCAACTTGAACCACCTTTGCTGCAACTTGAGACCATTGCTACTTGTTCTGTCATCTGCCACCACTGAGAACAGTCTCACTCCATCCTCTTTGTAACCTCTTTGTTTAGGGACTTGAAAGCTGCTATTAAATCCTGTCTCTGTTGCCTTCTCCAGACTAAATAAGCCCAGTTCCCTCAACCTCTCCTTATAAGTCATGTACCCCAGCCCTCTCACCATTTTCATTGCCCTCTGCTGAACTCTCTCCAGTTTGTCCACATCCTTCCTGCAGTGGGGGACCCAAAACGGGACAGAGTACTTCAGATGCAGCCTCACCAGTGCTGAATAAAGAAGAAGAATCACTTCTCTTGATATGCTGGAAACACACCTACCAATGCAGCCCAGTATGCCATTCTTGGCAACAAAGGCACACTGCTGGATCATATTCAATCTATTGTCCACTGTAAGCCACAAGGTCATTTCTGCAGAGCTGCAGCCCAGCCAGTCGGTCCCCAGCCTGTTCTGGTACATGGGATTGTTCTGTTCCAAGTGCAGGACTTTGCACTTGTCCTTCTTGAACCTCATGAGATTTCTTTTGGTCCAATCCTCCAATTTGTCTAGGTGTCTCTGAATCCTAACCCTACTCTCCAGTGTATCTACTCCTCCCCCTCAGCTTGGTGTCATCTACAAACTTGCTGAGAGTGAACTCAGTCCCATCTTCCAGGTCATTGATGAAGATACTGAACAAAACTGGTCCCAGGACTGACCATTGGGTCACTGCACTTGATACCAGCAACCAACTAGACATCAAGCCATTGATTACTACTCCCTGAAACTGATGATCCAGCTGAATAGCTGCTTGCTTCTTGTGGACCAAGCTCTATCCATTTGGTTTTGCTTAGCTTTGGAGTGAGAAACCAGACCCATTTTTCTATGTGAGATTTCACTGAATCAGGAGTTATATGCAGTATACTGAATTGTTATCTGACTGGCAGTCTTGTTTAGCTGTGTTAGCATTTGTGTCACTTAGCACTAGAGGCCCTTGGCTGCCTCCACTATCTTCATCTATATTACCATTTACTTGCTTTAACTCGAGGAAATATATTGCATAGACTGAGATGCACAAGTAGGTATACCAGAGCCTTCCATAAAGCTTACATAGTTAAGTAGATCATTTGATGCATGCACAAGTCATCTGCATCCAACTTGAAGAGGGAGAGGTTGGATGTGATCTGCTGTCAGAAGTTTTCTTATGCTGCAGCTGAGATTCTTTGCACATCCAGCAGCAGCAAGGACTTCATGAAAAGTCTAAGGCTGCACATGATCTTGATTGAAGGTCTAAATTCCCTAATTAAGCGGTCACAAGTTCTACAATCAGCCTTCCTTTCCACCATTAGGTGCCACTCACAGACAGAAACAGGTGGCAGATTATGCAGTTGTGCATAAAACAGTGGATGTGATATACCTTGACTTTAGCAAGGCTTTGGATACAGCCTCCCACAACACTCTAGCAAACAAGATAAGGAAGTATGGGTTGGATGAATGGACTATCAGGTGGATACTAAGGTGGATGGATCATTGGGTTCAAAGAGTGATGAATGGCTGAATGTCTAGTTGCCAGTTGGTATCAAGTGGAGTGCCTGAGGGGTCGATCCTGAGGCCATTTTTTTTCAATATCTGCATCCATGACCTGGAAGATGGAATGTACCCCCAGCAAGTTTGCAGATGACACCAAGCTGGGGGGAGTAGTAGATAGGCTGGACAATAAGAGTAGGATTCACAGAGACCTCAACAAATTGGAGGATTGGGTCAAAAAGAAAAAAAACCCATGAGGTTCAATAGGGAAAAATTCAGTCCTGTATTTAGGATGGAACAATCCCATGTACTGGTACAGGCTGGGGACCAACTGGCAAAGCAATAGCTCTGCAGAATAGGACCTGGGGGTTACAGTGGACAATAAGCTGAAGATGAGCCGACAGCATGTCCTTGTTGCAAAGAAGGCTAATGGCATTCTGGGCTGTATTAAAAGAAGCATTGCCAGGAGATAGAGGGAAGTGATTATTCCCCTCTATTTTGGCACTGGTAAGGCCACATCTGGAGTACTGTGCCTGGTTTTGGGCCCCCCACTATACAAATTGCAGAGAGCCCAGTGGAGGGCAACCAAAATTGTTAGGAGGCTGGGGAACAACCTATGAAGAAAGGCTGAGGGAACTGGACTTATTTTGTCTGGAGAAGACCGAGGGGCAATCTAATAGCAGCCTTCAACCACCTGAATGATGATTATACAGGAGATGGAGATAGGTTGTTCTCAGTGGTGGCAGATGATGGAACAAGAAGCAATGGTCTAAAGTTGTAGCAAGGGAAGTTTAGGTTAGCAATTAGGAATAACTCTTTCACTAGGAGGGTACTAAAGCACTGAACAAGTTACCCAGAGAGGTTGTAGAATCTCCACCCTTGGAGATTTTTAAGACCTGAGTAGACAAAGCCTTGGCTGGGATGATCTAGTTGGGGATGGTCCTGCTTTGAGCAGGGCATTGGACTAGATGACCTCCTGAGGTCCCTTCGAACCCTAATTTTTTGTGATTATATATAGAGTCTATTGAAGAGCCAAAACAGCTCTTGACACCAGTAACTACTTTTTCATTTTGATTTAAGTAGGTCAGTTCATTGAAAAAAAAATTAAAAAACCATTTGGGAACTGAAAAAGCCTGAAAGCTGCTTTTCCTTTTCTAATCAGTAGAACCAAATTAGAGGATGAGATCTTAGTTATAAAGTCTTGGAAGAAGGAAGAAGAAAAGACCATTCAATTCACTAACTACAGAGAAATTTTTGTCTTGAAATTAAAACCAACTTTAAGCAGTTGTGTTTTGGTAAGCTTTTTTCCTTTTCATTACATATCTAGCAAATTTTAAAAATGCAGTTGGATTAGAATTAAGGTGCGGATTGATGGGATTCCAATTTCTACACAAATCAACTAGAATCACATATATTCACATATAAACACACATATTCATATATTCATATATAAACACATATTAAATAAACACACATATTCATATATTCATATATAAACTCATATATTCACATATAAACACACACTTGCAGAAAACAGCAATTAACTTAATATCCATTTCAGATTCTTTGAGTTTATAAAGGTAGTATATCCTCCTAAATTAGCAGAGTATCACGTTATGCTACTGAATATAGCCTTTACACTAAAACTTTTTTTAGTGTAACCAACCTGTTAGTAGGCAGGGAGGTACCATCTTTTTTGCTTTCTTTCGGAAGGGGGAATACAAATGCAAGGGTTTAAGATATATATTTAGTTTTCCTTTTAGCCCATCTAAAGTGGGGGGGGAGGAAATCACAGTTGAAATCAGTTATTTAGGTCAACCCAGCCTACTTAAGGACCCAGGCAATGTCCAACCTAGAAACTAGAGGTTGTGAACAATTTTGATGAGATGTGAGTGTTTGTAGAATAGGCACAAGCAAAGTTCCTAGCATTAAAT